CGCTTTCGTACAGGTATGTCGCACGCGCGCGCGTTTCATATTTTTTTTTGTTTTTATTAAGTGTTGTTTAGTCAATATTTATTTGTTCTTGTAATTGAAAAATTGCATATTTGCGGACATTTTGCTACATGCGATGTGAGTGTAAAAATATTGAAGAGGTGGAGCGTGAGAAATGTAGGTGTCATAATATGAAAACGGAAAGAAGTAGTACATATTTTACAAGTTTTCTTTGTGCAGTAGAAAAAAGCAAACAAAAAAAAAAGTCTACTGAAGATGTTGTTGTTGTGTCGCTACATTGTTGTGATGCTTGTTGAGTTTTTGTTGCATTAGCTGACTTGGGTTTTCCGTGCAGCGGGCGCTGATTTTACGGCAAACTCGTTTTTTTAATTAATTGTCGCTGAATGCAACTATTTATTAGCTTCGCAAAAATGAGTGCTCCAAAAAAAAAAAAAAATTATACATAGATATGCAGTGTGCTTATGTACATACATACATTCAGACATACATAGGTATGTAGGCCCACAAGTACATATGTATGTGCGAGTGTGTGTATGCATTTCTATTTAAGCAAAGCATTTAAGTTGACGCCGGTTCTCGCTCGCCTATTATCTCCACTTGAGCTTTCTTCCTGGTTTTACTTGCAATTCAGGGCTCGTGCAGCATGCAACACGCACATCTGTTCGCGAAGTTAACCATAGTGGATAGATATAAATAAGCCGATTTTAACGTTTTACGCACCATCTAAGAGACGACCGATATATAAACATATGTAGATATATATTTATATGTGTTTGTATGTATGCGTTTACTACATTCGCGCACGAGGAGTCAGCACGCATGCTATATAAATATTCGTGTTGTTTTGTTAGTGTAATCTAAGCTGCTAATGTGAAACGCTAAAGACCTTGTACATGAGTGTCCTTCTGTTGGTGGCACACGCGTGTGCAACATTTTGTTTTTAAATGAGCTAATGCATTGGATGCTGCATTTAGATTAACAGCAACATATGCAGTGGAAGGCATTGGCTAATTAAGCAAAAGTAACTAAGTAAATAAAAAATGTATGAATGAAAATTGTGGAAAATATGGCGGGCACGTAGATATAAATTGTGGTGATTTTAGTCAAACAGAAAAAAGTAAATTATTTGCAAATAAAAAAAAGGAAGTAATAAATGGATTCAAATGAAATATTTAACAATAAAATAAAAACAAACTAAATTAAAGTACAGAGGGCATCCAATATCATTAATGTCGATCTAATGAAAGCTCTAAATAACGAACGTGGCTCTTGAATACACTGATTATTCTGTATAATAATAATAGATTGGCGCTTTCCCAATATTTGGGTGTTTGGCTGCGCCTTGATGTTGTCACACAAAGGAGAGGGACCTACTTACAATAGCGAATATTTGAAAAGCAAATTGTGAAGGGTGCTTGTACTCGATTGCGAGCTAAGGTCAAGGCATAAGAAACAGGTAGAGGTAGGCATTAGAGCAGAAACAACATTTATATATATATATATATATATATATGTCTATACGATATAGATATTAAAAAAAAATTTTTTGGGGCTTTTATTAGAGCAACAGAAGCCAAATCAACAATTTTTAGAATTTTTGTCTGTCTGTCTGTATGTTTGTACGCGCATCATTCGAAAACAAATACATACATCGAATTGAATGCAGTTTTCCCATAAGTATGCCTTGCTAAAGGACTAACTTAAAATATAGAAAAATTGAAATTAGAGAGTTGCCACCTGTTTGAGAATTGCAGTTTAAGTAAATTTAAAAGATAAAGTAACTATTGCAATTTGGCTGCCAGAAGAAAGGTACTTAAGAAGGCTTCCAGTTGAGAATTTTTTTGTGGAAGGTTGCCACTTGTTTGAAAATTTTAATATGATTTAGTTGATAAGATAAATTAAATATTGCAATGTGAGTATCAAACTAAAGTGGTTTAGGACAGTTTTCTACCAAAAATATTTTTGATTAGGGTTGCCACCTTTTTGAAAAAAATTTGTCAATTATTAAATTGATAAAGAAAATGAAAGATTACAATACGTGTATCAAACTAAAGAGCTTTAAGAGAGTTTACCGACGAACGTATTTTTTTAGCGGTTTGCCACCTTTTTGAAAAATGTAATTAAGTTAAAGTAATACGATAAAATAAATACTGAATCCATACACCGTTGAAGGAAGTTAAATACTTTCGCAAAAATTTTGCTTCATAACGTTCTTCAAATCTATTTTTAACCGACTTTGAAAAAAGGAGGAGGTTATCAGTTCGTTGGAATATATATTTTTGTATGTATGTTACCGCATAACTTTGGACCACGTTAACCGATTTCGATAATTCTTCCGTTTATTCATCGGTAAGGTGGTACCTCAAGGGTGGTCCCATACTAATTTTGTTTAGATCCGATTATTTGATCGTGAAGAAATTAACGATAATCTTAAATTTTTATGTGAGAATTGAAGTCGGTTTTGTTTTTTGCTTAAAAATTACTTGAATTTTTCATGAATGAAGCCATAAGAGTTTTGAGAGGGAGTAACAACCGTGAAGCACGCACCGGGTATTTGCTAGTGAAAAAAAATGGTGCAACTTTCTTTCTTGCTAAATTAGTTTGCTTCCAAAAGCATCGACCCACCCCTGCACAGCCCAGTAATCAGTGTTTCTGCTCCTTAGGTAAGCGAAAGTCGAAGATAGGGGTTTCAAGCGCTTCGATTTACGAAAAAGATTTTCATATGAAAATACTTTGTGGTAATTAATTTTTTGAAAAAAAACCTTATTTGACACATAAGAGATCAAACAACTTGAAAAAAATATTAATCCGCTGATCTACAGACACTAGGTACCTGTTCAATAGGCCTTGGTTAATGCCAACCATTAAATAAATATCAAATTTTTGGCAACTTACATCAATTATAATTATTTAATTCTTAACCATGCAAACAAAAAGCTGAACTTACTTGCATCTGCGCTGCTCTCACCCTAGTTGATGAGCGTGTTGCTGTTGCTTGCGAAAAAATCACCACCATCCTGAAAGCCGCCCTTGTAGAAGTTGAACCCTACTGGCACGGGCTGTTCGCTAAGGCTTTGGCAGGTATCTGTGTTGGTTCTGCTGCCTTAGCGGAGGATGCAGCCCCTGCTGGCGGGGACCGTTCATCAGCTAAGGCCAAGAATGAGGAAGAATCAGAGGAATCCGACAAAGACATGGGCTTCTCTCTCTTCGGCTAAATCAAACTGCTTTATATGTGAAGTAATCAGTTGAGTACTTTACCAGCCTATGCCCAGGGATATGGACCCATCAATGCTTACAACTTTATATACTTCTTGCAATTTTTGGGTGTTTTCTTGATTTAAAAAATAATAATAATGATTTCATTGCATCCTAAGGCCATTACTAAAGATCATCCCTTTTGTGACTCCATTATACTGGGTGGGCCAAATAAGACATACCCATGTTAAACATTATAACTTTCTTATTTTTTAATATTATTATTTTTTATTTTTAAATGTTATAGTTAATCTCTTGTAAAATTATAATGGATACACAATTAGCTACACAAATTGATTTTTTAGGTAATGTTTTGATGTCGGATGAAGCACATTTCCAAGTAGAACTGTAGATTGTGGGGCACCCAAAATCCAAGGGTAACACACCAGCACCAGTTACACCCATCTAGATGCACTGTTTGGTGCGGTGTTATGACTGAAAAAGTTATCGGCCCCCATTGCTTCGAGAATGAGGCCAACGGCAGAGCAGCATACTAATTTGTGGTTCCAACAAGATGGAGGGGCTGCGCACACTGCTACTTAAGCAAACTATGGACCAGTTGCGTGAAATTGGTAGGTCTTATTTGGCCCACCCTGTATGTACATTCCTCTTGCGCAGAACAGTATTCAGAGACTAGCACAACAATAAAGTCGGCGATAGGATTCACTCGGTACATCTCTCACCGAAGCTATCCTTACCTGACGGCCACTATCCTTCTGCCGAGCGTGGAGTGTCATTTGATATGGACAACTAGAATGCCTCTGGAAAGTGCCGAATATTCTGTTGCTATGGTGCGATGGTGACACTATGCTCTTGCCAACACCAACCTAGCAATTCGTAGATAGGCTTCGGAACAAACTTGTTGTGTTAAAAGGCTTGATCTGGGCGATCGGTGGACTAAGCGGCCTTTTATTTGTGATCTGAATAGAAAGTAATGAAATTTTAAAGCCCACTCCCGTGCTGGTTTGCTTCAAGTGGGGTGGAAGCCTCGATATAGCCAATACGTGGTTTTTGTTCGATTTCAAAAATGTTCAAGAAAAAGTTTTATATGAAAGTATAACTCATTACATCCAAGTTTCAAAGTTTGTGCCAAATTAAAAAAAAAAAAACAGCATAGTTTCAGCAAAATTTCATACTTCTGTTTAGAATTTTTTCGATTTTGTTTTTTTTTGGTAACGTGCATACATAAAAGAATTGTCGAACATACTTAGTATGAAAGAAAATGAATGACACCGTATCAAAAAACAAAAAAAGGCCAAATATCAGCTGTAGTTTGAAGTTTTCTTAAACTTGTATTTTGTTATATTAGAATTGAACTGGCTATAAAACTGCATACTCGAAAAGTTTACAAAAACTCTGAATAAAAAAAAAAAAATTTTAGGAAGTTTTGTTGATTTTTTTAAAGTTTGTGCAATGTTTGAGATTTGGATTTATAATGTAGTTTTTTATAGAAATAAATGAAATTGTTAAAAAAATAAATATATAGTCAAAAGATGTCACTAAATGTTATGTTTCGGCTGCATTCTTTTTTTATGTTTCGCGGTATAATTAAAGTAAAATACAAACGCAATTAAAAACAGTAACCTATTTTTTTATTTTTTTTTTTAAATAAAATAATGGAGATATATAATTACTTGCAATAATTTACATTTTACAAAAAAATTAACATATCCATTTTTAGTCCCGTCTTTATTACATGTTTACATCCATGTAACTAAAACTGTTTTGTTTTTACTTATTCAAATAACGTTTGCCATCATTTACGCTTCGCTTTTTCTCTGTTAAAGACATTTTCGTGGTATGTTAATCCGTGCATAAAGCTATGTATGCGTGTACATTAGGATGGTCGTCCAAAGTTTTTTTTCAGGCGAAAGTAAGGGGACACGTATTTTTTTAGTTTAAAATCGCTTAACAGTTTATCTTGCCATAAGTACTTTGAAGTTTTTCATATATTTTATATGAGAAAAATACGTTTTTTCGTAGAATTGCTATAAAGTCGTTAAAAACAAATATTTGTTGATCGAATAAGATTATTTATACTCAGAGATCTTCCATACATAAAATTATGTTGAATATTAAAATTTAAAATTTTACTACATAACTACTTTTTCATTACCTATAATCTTATCTGTTATATAAAAAAGCGTGATATTTTATAGGTTTGTAACCACGCATTTTTTTGAAGGCAAATGTTCTTATTCGATGCAAAAATATTTATTCTTAATATTTTTATAGCAGTTCTGCTTCTACTTCTTTATTTTTCCCATTCAACGATATGGAAGACACAAAACCGCCTCCAATTTGAAAATAAAAAAATGCGGGTCTTCTTATTTTCGACATTCTTTATTTGCGGTGGCTGGAAAATTCCAAAAAGCTGATTTTTCTGTGCATTTGTGTACCACCCTAATGCATATATGCCAGCACATACACATACAAATGTAAGTGAATAACAACCAACTCACTCACCCGCCATATGCAGAATCGTTAATGCGATCGTGCGTATTTTTGGGCATTTTTGTTAATTATTTACTCCCACATACAAACATACATATGTATCAATCAAAACATGCCAACGAACTCAATTTTTATTTTGCGCCAAAATTTCCAATCAAAAATTAAATGTAGTGCATTTAAAAATATGAGTTTTGGGGTGTGACGTCAAATCACTTCCGGACAATTACACAGAAGCGGGCGTGCAGTGTTGATGTACTTTTGTACATACTTACATACATATACTTGTATGTACGCATAGAATATAAAAACGTAGGAAAAAATAAATAATAATATTTCAGAAAATAATTTACTCTAACGACAAAATCGATACTAAATAATTGCTTGTGTTAAACAAAAATATAATTAAAATAATAATAAACAAGAATGTAATTAAACTAAGTGAATTAAAAACCAAACACCAAAAAAAAAATAACATCATTAAAAAGTGCTAAACTAAAACAAAAGAAATAATAATTATTGCAGTAGCAAGAAGGAAGCAGTAAAAGTGATTTGCAACAACAACTTACACCGTCTATGTAGTTCACCGAAGTCACTGCAGCGATTTTAAGGAAGTGGATTTCACGCTTCCGGCACGTACGTAACTCCTTATAATGCTTATATGTATTCACATAAACATTTCTGTGTACATTTGCAAGTACAACTTACTTAAGTCGACTTTTGCGAAATTTTTCTGAAAAGCGCCAAATCGTTGGGTTCGCAGCCACTATTTGAAGTAATAACTGCTCTTAGCTGTAGTTTAAGTTGTCATTTTAAAAAATATCGAATGAAATTATATAGTTTTTTGTCAGAAAGTTCATTATTTTTCCTTCAAAATCAAAACTTTTAAAATAATTTAAGTTGAGTCTAGCAAAAGTCTACAGATATGTGCTGAAAATGTATACGTGGACGCAACATACATACATACATACATATGTACATAAGAACATGCTTTATTATACATATTCCCTGCGGAAGCATTTGCTCCTTCAATGCGCTATGTACGGGTTAATATCGAAACTTCATACATATCTATGTACATATGTATTTGTGTATGCATATCTCGCTTTTATGTGTGCGAATAGTTTGTTATTTTTACTATGCGAAAAACTGTGTCACATGCGGTAATTATGAAATACCGTGGCAGCTACATATTTCAATATCCTGTGTTTGCTTACTTTACTGACTGCCTCGCTTCTGAAGAGGCAAGTGCGTGCGTGTGTGTGGGTGTTTTGACGTTTCTCTAAGTTTAGTTTGCACTTAAGAAATCACAGTAGTGCTTAGCAATTACATATGTATATACATTAGGCATATGATTTCTGCCTTAAATTAAATATACGTATGTACCTGCATTTGAAAAATGATGAAAAACCGTTTTTGTAAAAATTTTGTAAATAAGTTCCTGCAGCGAACTCTGAAAACAAAAATATTTGTTAAGAAAAAGACACACATATATGTATATGGAAAATTCCATGTCAAACAAATTACTACTGCGATCAAAAATTTGTTTCAAAATTTTTTTTTTTATTCCGCTTACTTTGCATTTTCAATACATACATAAAATGGGGCATTCCAGCCCAATTTAGACACCAGTTGGCTTTTGCATATCCGAATTTTTCATATATTTTTTTTGTTTTAATAGCAATTGAGGAAGCCCTTCCTGATCTTTGAACCTTTGTTTGTCCAGTGGTAGAAGCAGAAATTTTCTATTCAATTGTCAAAGTTCAGCTTACCCTATGAAGACGTCTTAACCGACTCCAATCGGGACCAAAATTTTAGGGGGGATCTATGACCATAGTGTTACCGATTGAGTTTGGGGTTAGACTGAAAAAAATCTTTCATTTGATTTTTAAGGACCACCCTAATGTAAATGTATATTAAAGATTCGAGGACAATAGAATACAGAAAAAAATAAATATTTTTTATACTAAGTTTTGATCGCAGTCATATTTCGGTGAACGTAGAATTTTCCATAAACATATACACTGAAATTGCACTAAAATTTAACAGGCATAGAACTGCATACCCAAACATTTTCGAAAAGTTTAGATTAAAAAGTTCAAAATTTTTATTAAATTTTTTTGCATTTTTTAAGCTGTGTAAACAAATTGGATGTTTGATTTATCTTTGAAAACTTTGCAAACATTTAATAAAAACCACAATGGACTCAGTTTTGCGGTATTTTTGTTGGTTTTTCATTAATCCCCATCCCTTCTTCATAGGCATATTCAATTTAAAAAGAGAGTCATATGCCTAATGAACATATACCACACACTTCCATACATACTTGCATACACTAATAAGAATGTATGTAAGCAACGTGAAATTTTGCTCGGATGTGCTTACATTTAACACTTTTCACGAAAGTGTTTGCGCCAGCAATTGGTTATTGACCTACTGCTGCTTGCTTGCTGTAGGAAAATTTATTAATTATTCCGTAGTTAAATGTAATCATATTAATGAAGGAAGT